GTAGGCCCGCGGATCAATAGCAGAATACACAAGATGCAATTTCGAAATGTAGTTGTGCAACAGCAGTTTTTCTCTTTTTATGTCAGTCACCGACAGTCACTCAATTAGCCCAACAAAATGTTGCTTTGAGCCCCCAAAAGGCTAGGGCCAACTCTGACTGTATGTGCTGGAATCAATGTGGGTACGCAGCCCCGCGAGCCACTGCGGCCATATTTTTGCCATGAAACTGTTATAAAACCTTTTATAACACCATCCAATGAATTACATAATTCCTGTCACTCAATAGGAAGCAGTATCCCTAGTGTCCAGCATAAAAGTTCCAATGCTCCATTTGTCCATTAAATTATTTCCATTTCATAACATTGTTCCTGCATGTCTTACATGGACAGCATTATGGCTGGATATCAAAGGTACTGTACAGCCTGTTACAAAATAAATTAATTATAAGGAATTATAAATTAACATTGATGAAATCCTGTGCCTTTGACACCAAACAGAGAATTCAAACAATTGTACTAGTTTAGACTTCAAAACCATGCCTGTGACGGTGCCCATGGTTACAGAGATACTGTAGTTACATTATTTTACCTCGGGTTGCTCTTATGTCTTATGAAAACACTGTGTTTTCCAGACAGCCAAGAGATATGGGAAAGTAAGCCATGCCTCAAAACACTAGTTTGCTCCTGTCAGTGCTGAATTAGTGCAAATTGGCACATATTTATCCACTACTGCACAGATATTCAATCAAATCTTAACCAACAGAAAAGCAAAATAACGATCTCCTCCTTCACTAAACATTGCCTCAAACGATACCACTACCATTACATCTTCTGTCCCCATCTCTTAGCTGTTATTCATGAGCCTAGAGAGAACATCTCTGTCCTCTAAGCAGCCCTGCCTGTAGGCTACTGGAGACCACTGAAAGTCTTTCATGCTTAAAATTTTAACTGTGGTTCCTGGGGTTGACACTACAGCTCGTTAGGGTCCCTGATGAGTGGGGGACATCAGGAACATGCTGTGATCTCATTATCTCGCCGGCCTCTCCGGATACGGTCCAATTGCCTCAGTGTGAACAAATGACGTGTAATTAAAGTTAAACAAATGGGCCATGTCATCGCAGCGCAATACTGTCTGGTTGCACCCCATCCCCAACCACCTGCTAGTTAAGGAACATTGAGGAAGCGTAATATTTTCCTTGACCCCAACTTGACAGGGCGGATGATAAGCTAATGCAATCTGCGCTAACTTGAGCAGGTAGCAGTGTAGCCAGCGGGAACTGAAAGCAGTCTAGCTGAAAGGTAAAGGATATGGTCTGGTACTGGTTGCGGTTATCGGTTCAGATATACTGGTAACTGCTTATGCCGCTGCATATAGAATATACCTAAAAGCTGGAAGGGGAAACATAACCTGGAAAGAAATTAAGAGGTTAGATAATGGCTATGATAATGTTATGGCACTGTAATATACCACACGACACAGGCCCATACCCGTCTATTCATCTTGAGCCAAAAGGGGCTGAAAATCAATGTTTACATACACTTAGGTTGGAGTCATTAAAACTCGTTTTTCAACCACTCCACACATTTATTGTTAACAAACTATAGTTTTGGCAAGTCAGTTAGGACATCTACTTTGTCATTGACAATTGTTTACAGATTATTTCACTTAGAATTCACTGCATCACAATTCCAGTGGGTTGACTATGCCTTTAAACAGCTTGGAAAATTCCAGAAAATGATGTCATGGCTTTAGAAGCTTCTGATAGGCTAATTGACATCATTTGAGTCAATTGGAGGTGTACCTGTGGATGTATTTCAAGGCCTACCTTCAAACTCAGTGCCTCTTTGCTTGACATCATGGGAAAATCAAAAGAAATCAGCCAAGACCTCAGAAAAATAATTGTAGACCTCCAAAAGTCTGGTTCATTTCCAAACGCCTGAAGGTACCACGTTCATCTGTACAAACAATAGTACGCAAGTATAAACACCATGGGACCATGCAGCCGTCATACCGCTCAGGAAGGAGACGCGTTCTGTCTCTTAGAGATGAACGTACTTTGGTATGAAAAGTGCAAATCAATCCCAGAACAACAGCAAAGGACCTTGTGAAGATGCTGGAGGAAACAGGTACAAAAGCATCTATATCCACAGTAAAACGAGTCCTATATCGACATAACCTGAAAGGCCGCTCAGCAAGGAAGAAGCCACTGCTCCAAAACCGCCATAAAAAAGCCAGACTACGGTTTGCAACTGCACATGGGGACAAAGATCGTACTTTTTGGAGAAATGTCCTCTGGTCTGATGAAACAAAAATAGAACTGTTTGGCCATAATGACCATCGTTATGTTTGGAGGAAAAGGGGGGAACTTGCAAGCCGAAGAACTCCATCCCAACCGTGAAGCACAGGGGTGGCAGCATCATGCTGTGGGGGCGCTTTTCTGCAGGAGAGACTGGTGCACTTCACAAAATAGATGGCATCATGAGGAAGGAAAATTATGTGGATATATTGAAGCAATATCTCAAGACATCAGTCAGGAAGTTAAAGCTTGGTCACAAATGGGTCTTCCAAATGGACCATGACCCCAAGCATACTTCCAAAGTTGTGGTAAAATGGCTTAAGGACAACAAAGTCAAGGTATTGGAGTAGCCATCACAAAGCTCTGACCTCAATCCTATAGAAAGAGTGTGGGCAGAACTGAAAAAGCGTCTGCGAGCAAGGAGGCCTACAAACCTGACTCAGTTACATCAGCTCTGTCAGGAGGAACGGGCCAAAATTCACTCAACTTATTGTGGGAAGCTTGTGGAAGCCTACCCGAAACATTTGACCCAAGTCAAACAATTTAAAGGCAATGCTACCAAATACTAATTGAGTGTATGTAAACTTCTGACCCACTGGGAATGTGATGAAAGAAATAAAAGCTGAAATAAATCATTCTCTCTACTATTATTCTGACATTTTTTACATTTCAGTCATTTAGCAGACGCTCTTATCCAGAGCGACTTACAGTTAGTGCATACATTTTCATACCGGCCCCCCGTGGGAATCGAACCCACAACCCTGGCGTTGCAAACGCCATGCTCTACCAACTGAGCTACAGTGGTGATCCTAAATGACCTAAGCCAGGGAATTTTTACTAGGATTAAATGTCAGGATTTGTGAAAAACTGAGTTTAAATGTATTTGGCTAAGGTGTATGTAAACTTTTGACTTCAACTGTAAACTACGCCATTTTATCCCTTAACTGACTGACAGCAATTATTTTTTGCTAAAAAATGTGTCAATCAACCCCCGAGCCTCGGTCCCAAACCCCAGCCCCTGCACAACATAAGCGCTGCCATGGTGACGCATGAGTCATCCGGCCTTAATCACCTGTATGTGTCCCTTATGACACCACCGCCACAGCCGGAAGCACCGACTCTGCGGAGCATAGCCCCAGAAGTTTCAATTAGGGCATACATTTCAGGGTCTAATATCCTTCCTGGGCCCAGTTCAGAGAGGGTAGGCATGGAGCTAAGTGCTAGGTTGTGTGGGACTGAGGCGTCTGCCAGGCCTGTATGCCCTCTGGCATCCCTGCACACCCAGGCAGGGAGCTATAGGGGGTTTACTTAGCAAGGCTGGAGCCGTCCTTGAATGGGCCCCGTGATAACATAGCAATGGTATTCTGCAAGTGTGGTCAAGGAGATAGCTGCCTGTGTCAATTGTCTACATGCAATGGATAGAGCTAGGGAGAGTAGAGAGAGCAGAGAGAGTGAGTGAGGGAGAAAGGGAGAGAGATGGAGAGAGTAGAGAGGAGGAGGAAGAAAGAGAAAAAGGAGAGAAACAGTGAGGAGGAAGAAATGAGAGCTTGAGAGGAAAAGAAAAAGGGGGAAAAGAGAGAGAAAGAGTGAGGGAGAAAGCAAAGCAGCATCATTATATTTGAGTTAGTTTCCCCCTTCTGTCTTTTACCCATAGGCATTTTAAGAGACGGCAGGTGATCCATCGCAGATCTCAAAGCACCACAGGGATCCTTACACCACACTCCATAACTGCAAAGCCTTCCCTCAAATACTTTTTGACACCTCGGTCAAATCATAGCTCTTTATGCCAGAAGCACAGACGAGGTCCAAGTCACCATGAGACACACACACCACAGGAGTTTCATAAACACTGTTACGATCTTTGTCTGAAAACAAACTCCTAAATCTCCCACTAATAGCCTGTTTCAGCCCACCAACAGCTCTTGCAATATCGCTGTTTTTTTTAAATGACGCTGGATACAGACAAGGTGCAATAGTGTGCCAGAAAATGGGTTTCTTGCAGACAACTCCTATGTTCATACACTTTGAGATCAATCCTTTGCAAAGAATCTATACTTAGTCCCTTAGGTCTCTTTAATCTGTTTAAACTCAACTGGAAGTGCGTGTTAAAACACCTCTGCAACTATTGCATACATAACATCTGTCAGGGTAAAGGTTATTTCAGTTGGGGCTGAATCCTCCTATACAGTATTAGCCCTGAGACATCACTGTAGACTCTTATGACATTACAGTTTTGTATCAGGGTTAATGCACTATTCCTTTGATGTAATTTATGAGTGCATTCTACTGTTGTATCTTCTCTGAAAATTGTATAGACATCTACATCCATGTTTGGTGGTTCATGATGAATGTTTGTAAACTTTGTCATTCCTGTTTTTAGATCCTGGGTTCGAGTGGGAATGAGGATCACATTCAAGGCCTTTCTTCTTCAGAAAAGTTTAAACAAAAATATCACAAGGGCAATGTTTTCTAATTGTCGCATCCACTCCCAATGAAAAATTTACAGCAGTCCACTCCACCGCCAGGGATAGCCTCAGCACCAACCAAGAGGCCTCTGGAGTTTCAACTTACCTGAATGTTGTCAAGTGAATCTTCTCTATGTTGAAATCTTGGTTGAAATCCAGGTTTTGAATTGTGATTTGAAGACTGAGCCACGGCAATTTCCAGATTTCAGAGGTTGGTCACTCATACCTTCCACCTTACCTTCAGATATCTCATTGTTCTCCTCGGTGACACTGGTGTCTTTCTGGTTCTTGGGTCGTACATTCTGGGGCTGTACGTTCTCATTGTCAGGCTCTGAAAGTTGGGCTGAAACAAACCAAACACATTTCCATTGACACATTATACTGTAGAATACATTTTGTCAAAGATGTTTGAACAATGGCAATCACACAGACCAGCTATTTCCTTTGATTAAACAACCTCATTAAATCCTGGAATAAGTTGTAAAAGTTCAAAGGCTCTTCTCACCCTCAAATGTTCCTAGGAGTGGCTTGCTCTCCTGAGCACCTTTCACAGCAGTGACCTTGACTGTGTACAACTTTCTGGGATCTAAGTCTATGATCACTTTGGCTTCCTTTTTTGTCACCTCTAGTTCAGTCTCCTCTGCATCTGTCATTGGGAGAAAGTAACAAACAAGACCAAACGTTGTCAATATTCAAGAAATTGTTTTCACTTGTGTTCTGATTGTTTGTTAAATGCATTCTATTGAAAATGAGTTTACCATCATTTTATTTTGAGTTCGACTATTTTGAAATCTCCTTTTCATGTGGAATGTCAGGAATGGTATTGATGTTGAGTTGACGTACTAGTTGCAATGAAGGATACTACTGCTACGGGGGTATATTGGCAGTAAACGAACTAGTCAGCGGCTAAACGGCTGCTGCAGGACAAGTAAAGAGAGGCCTCTGCGCTTAACACACCTGAATTATTTTAAGCAGTACCCACAGGACATGAAGAACCTCAGTTTGACTCACTCAAGTGTCTCTATCTTCAAAAACAACTTAACAGGGCTGTTTGTTAAAAAAAAACAGGAGAGAAAGCACTCACTGTGTAGCCTGCTGTGTAGCCAGGCAGAGCATTGAAGCACTTAAGGGAATGTAGCTATGTATCTAAAATGTACCATTTATGCATAAGTTTCATCATTCTTGTTCTGCATATCAGAACAGAACTACGGAATTATAATTATCCTGACATTTAACACTCATCTTTCACAGGTTCACTGACACGTACTGTTCCTCCTTTATTACAATTATGGTATATCTGCTAAGCACGGCCTGAAGGCAACATGTTGCAAATGGAAGTGTGTGGGCATGTTGTAGAAATTGGGTTGTCAAGCCTTGTCAGATCTTGCTTAAAGATTATTAAAAATACTATTTAGTGAGGGGTGCGCCCATCATAGGTCATTCATAGGTTTTATTGACCAATACTTCCGAATGTACCACAGCATACTTGAAAAGCACTGATATTTTATATTTTTCAGCAAAATGTCTGTGTGATTACAGCACACTCAGTATACATGATACATAATGCATCAGAAATGCACAGTGATCACACTTATCTTACCCTGCATCTTATAACGGTCAAGTCAATGTGCATTTTGAAACCTGACAAAAATGGGAGTGTAAGCTCTATTTTCGTCTGGTGTTAAGCCAGCGCAGTGTCAAAAGCACGCTCATTGGCAATTTCGACCGGCGCTCTGCTATTTTCAAACACTTGCGCCAGGATTGGTAATTGACCTTTCTTATATGAGCTCGCTTGTGCTGAGGTGGGAGGGGTGGCAATATCTGAGGTGTGCCCTTAAAAACGTGCAACAATTTGCCAATTTGCCAAAATCCCATTTCGTTTCATTTGATTAAAAACCAAGCATAGCCTCCCCTCCTCTCAATGAAGGCAGTTTTTTTTGTCCTGCCGAATGCATTCACCAAGTAGTCAAGACTATCGATAAAGGGTTTGGCCCGTGAGACCGCTTTGAAATACATCTTAATCACCAAAGCTGTATTAATGCATACTCCATTCGGCTTGTATTCATCCCCATTTCCAAAGAGCGCCTCTTGTCCGGCTACCAAAGACGTGCTCCACCAAACATATTCAAATTATCCAGCCAGTCCTATAACATCATATTATGGGTAGGCTATATCTTGCTTATTGAGAACGTGCCTCACACATACAAAACAATTTATGGGAGCCTAGTATTTTTTATTTGTGGTAAGTGCGATGCGTAAATATATTTAGGCCTATGCTCGTTGAAGCCAATTTCAACAATGTGACTGTCAATTACTCATTACTGTGGCCTAAGCGATTTAATAAACTGTAGTATCAATCCACAATGGACTAGGATGAGAATATTTAGTGCCCCCACCCGAATTGGAGTTGACGACAACGCAAATACTATCAATAACCTACAGATTTTGGGACAACGAAATGCAGTATTAAGCCATGAAGCATGTTGATTGGCAGTGAGTGGCCAAGCCCTCGTCACACCTCCAATTTATTTATCCATCAAACCCCACCCTTTTCGTGCCACCGCCAGCTACTACGCCAATAATTCTGGTTGTGAAAATAGCAAAAATATTTCTGACAAACCCCTAAACCTATAGTGCTACTGCCAGCGCTAAGATTTACCATTGCATTAGGTTTGTTAAAATAGAGCCCTAAGTGTTGGAGAAGGGAGTAAGTATTACTACCCACAATCCAGCGCTGCATTCAATTTCACCCCAATCATGATGATTTGTGTATGTCTGCGGGTGTCGCTCTCTGTCAAAGCAACTCTTCTTCAATGAACATAGGCTCATTGACTAGCCTCTCGCATGAGCTCCCATTTCAACCCACACGTAATATGAAAACTCTGACTGACTCCGCAATTGGAATGCCATTCTGAGCAATGACAAACACTGAACCACAGGGGTGGAGAGAAAGAGAGAAGAGGGAAATCAGACCTGGTTTCAAATAGCATTCGTTTTCTTTAAAATACTCAAATACTTCAGCTGCGCTAGATTGAGCTTGTCTGGTTCAAAGGAACCAACGGAATAGCCCCAAAAGTGCAAACCTCGCCACCCATAGGATACTCCAGGCAGGCAGATCAAGAGCTCATAGCATTTAAAAAGACAAACAAATACTATTTGAACCCAGGTCTGGAAGAAAACTGATGAAATATCCTCCATGCTGCAGCTGGCATGAAGAGAAGTTCACCAAATGAAACTGGCTTGGTGGGGAGATGTGCTCCTCAGCAGTGTGCCAGGGGTGGGATGAGATTGTGTCCCCCGCCCCGGCCCGCCTCAGGCAGTTTAGATACAGCTGCTTGTGCTCTGCTCACTGGGTCTTATCTGACGCTTACTACATTACCTTGATCAACACCAGCTCAAGGCCAGGCAAGCCACTGGAGCTGCAGCTTCCCCCTAGCTGCAGGTAAGGACTCAAAGTAAAAGCCATGGTGGAATGTCATGGAGTCTATCTATACATTGAGAATTGGCCATTTATAAATATGTTTCCTTAAGAACAACATGAGAAGTGAAATGGTAGGCTGTACTACACAGTGAGTCAATCGCCTAATAGGTGCATCAATCATAGTGATTAATATAGATTACAAAATGGTTGTTTGATTACATTATCATCTGATAGATAGTTGATATGTAATTATGTTTTCTTCACTGCAAGTATGAAGCTGTTGTGAAACACGCAACATAAGTTAGAGAGCATCCTTCAAGGCCGAATCGTAACTTGATCATTTGTTCTCATTGCTGGACCTTACCTGATTGTGTGCTATAAATAAATCTGTAGCTTTCAAAGTCTCCTTTCGGTTCTTTCCATGACACAAGCAGCTGGGTTGCGCTCAGGACTTTGAAACGAAGTCTTCGTGGGGTGGCAACTAGACAAAAAAAGACAATAACTGACTAACTCAAGAAGCGTTTGTATATAGTATTCTATAGTAATATTCAATGCATGGTTAATGACACCAAGACAGTGGTTGGGGTTCAATCAGGTGTAAAAACCAATGTTCTTTGAAAAAAGATTTTTAGCCAATTGAAATGCATGAAACTTGAGATTCCCCAGTTAAAAGTCATTATGAAACAGTTAGCAGCTAGATTGAACTCCAGCCAGAGTTTGGCAAGGTAACAGGCACTCTCCATCTGTGTTTCAACAGTCCTAAAAGAGTGTATCTTGGCCAAATTAAAAAGATACAGATTCAAAGAGTACCACAGATGTCACTTAAAAGCAAAGTCACATTCTCTCCCTTCCTTTGCCATTGATAGCGCTCATATCTCTTTTGATGGGGGGTCTTTTGTGCAGCACTTATCTCAGCATTAAAGTACCATCCCCGATCTCATCATGATTGCATTTCGCCGGAGCAGTCGAATTGAGACTGTATTACAAAGAGTGTGCTCTTTACTTTGGGGCCTTTTCAGAGTAGAATGTGCCTTTTTTTTCAATTGCAGCAGCGACAAATTGAAAGGCACTGGAATAGCATTTATTCCTGTCTTCAAGAAGATATCTATCTGCAAGTCGAGCGATATACCACTTTCACCACTTCCTCTTGGGTCAACATCCCATCAGCTCTGCAAAGCAGGCAATAATAGGCATTACCAAATCCCAGAGAAAAACTAAACAAACCCCAAAAAAACATTCCCATCCAATTTGGTAACAATGGAAAGAACTGCAAACAGTCCCACAAACTGGTCTTGTTTGTGTCCTCATTAAGAGCAGGCAAGATATCTTTTGCCAATGTATTCTTTAAATACCTTCAGACGTTAATGGTATGGAAAGAATACAATCAAGGTATGGAAAGAATACGATCAAGCACATAGAATGGAGTAACTCATCGGAGGGTAAAGAGCCCGGAGATGGTGCATGGTGCTAACAGGCGAATAATAATACTGTACCGAGCTCACCAACCTGAAAATGGGGGGTGGGTATTCAGCAGGGCTTAACTCTCTCTGAAAAAAAGATACGTCTTCTCTGAAGAATGTCGCTTCCCCGAGTAAGAGAATTAGAAAGTGTGTTGTTTGTGTGCGTTTTTTTTTTTACCTTCAGAGACTTGGTTCATTAATTTGCACATTTCCAGAACAGACTAGTAGTATAACATCTACAAGACTAAGGACTTGCCTGTGTGAAGATGGGCTTAAATTCTTATATATTTTTCATAGCTGTCTTGCGCAAACAGCCGGCAGGCTGGTGAGGGTTTAAGAGGCCTCAAGCACCCATGGGAAGTTTGGAACAAGTCAGACATGGAAAGTGTAATGCATTTTAAATTATCTGTGAAAATGTGTTATAAGGAGGGCCATATTGGGTGAGATACTGACACTGTAGGGATGGGCATGTGGCCACATGCCGCTGGGTGACAGTGGCATGTGTTCCCAGACCTCCTTCCCTTGTTTATCGCCTTAAGGTCCGGATGCTTTCAGTTAAACCTCTGTGGTGTACTTTGAAGGAAACTTCTATAGAAGCCCACTGACAGCCCACCCTGACCTGTAAAAGGGACAGGTTGTTTACCTTAAACCAGAGGGCAGCCCTTCAGAGCAGAAGGCTTCCGCCGAAACCCAATGGATGCTGTCCAAGGTGTAATGCTACAATACAACGCAAAGCAGCACTATACTGTAGCCCAGGTTAGCACAGTGCAGAGTCCACTCTTAGCACAGGAATGCTGTAGTTTGTTTCACTTGAATCAAATCAAATCAAATTGTATTTGCCACATGCGCCAAATACAACAGGTGTAGACCTTACAGTGAAATGCTTACTTGAGGACTGGGCAACGTTGTCTAGACAAGCCCAGATAAACAAACTGCAGCTGTTTGAGGATGCAGTTCTTGTTCGTCTTCACATCAACAAGGTTAAGGTCAAAGGCAGATATATAAGGGTAGGTAGTTCATGTCAAAGCATATTCTGAAAGCACTTGAGTCAACTGCAAAAGGAATGTTAATGATGTGATTTTACACACAAAAATGAGCCTATATTACCAGAAAATAGTGACTTTTCCCTTCGAAGTAAAATAATCACAAAGTGACAGTGACACAAAGACAAATGCTTCGACAAAAACTGCACATCAAAAAGACACACACAGGACGACAAAGAATAAGAAACAGCCTATATAATTGTGTTTACCTTGACCCTGAGCTGGCACAGATAAGACAGAGATAAGAGCCAGACAGAGTACAGGACTCCATACCCACATCTTCAGTCCTATAGCTTGCATCCTTCACACTGGTATAGGAGAGGAGCTCAGAAAACCTGAGGAGACAGCAAAGGGAATGACAATGCTTGATGCTATTGGAAATAAATAACTTCCATTATTAATGGGATCATCATTATCTATACTTCCCCAGAGTCAGATGAACTTGTGGATACAATTTTTATGTATCTGTGTACAGTATGAAGGAAGTTAGAGGTAGTGTCGTGAGCCAATGCTAACTAGCGTTAACGAAATGACTGGAAGTCTAGATCACGGGTTCTTAAACTTTTTCAGCCTGGGACCCAAATTAGAAATTCTGTGTTTTCCTGAGACCCAAGCTTATCAAAGCATGCAACTATACGTACATATCGGTACATTTCATTGCCCATATGCCTAAAACAAATGCAATATAGACTAAAACAAATAACAATAAAATGAAATACCCATATAAATAGCTAATCATGTTTATTTTCTCCCATTAAAAACACTTATATATCTGTCTAGGTTGGAATTGTTGCTGTTAAAATACCATAAATCATTTTTATTCTGAATTGGAATAAACTGATTGATCACATCACACAGATGTAGACCAGAAAACACACACACACACAGTCCTAATGAGAGGTGTGTGGCTGGTTGAAGTTTTCAACAAGCATGTCTATTCTGTGCTCAGCTTTTGATAGTGTAACCCTGAGGTCATGCTCAGCATTGAGTCTGTTTCTGTACTTTTACTGTTTTTTTTAAGTATAGCAGAATTGAGAACCCTGACTCGCATAGGTATGTTGTGCCAAACTGGATCAGAACATATACTGCTTTCAGTTAGACAAGAAAGAGAGGAGCAACCCAGAACTGTGAGAGTGTTTTTCTTAAAAAGCATCTTGCTTCAATCAGTTTATTGTATTTTAACAGCAACAGTTCCAACATAGACTTTTTTCACAAATAATTTGTTCAGTAAGATCAGTAGACCTGATCATTGTTCATCTTCATCTTCCCACTCACGCAGCTGCCAAACTGAGCAGAGACACCGATACTAGCAGAGAGCGCACTAAAAAGAGAGCGCAGTTGCACTTAGCCAAATCAATTCTAGTAATGAATGAAATAATTATACATTTAATCTGACACGTCGCAACCCAGCATGAACAGGTCCGCAACCCACGTTGGGTCGCAACCCATACTTTAAGAAAGGCTGGTCTAGAGGAACAGCTTGACTGAAAATCTCGAACTATCCCTTTAATGCAATTTCAAAGTAAGGAATGGAATTGGTTCTTAAGGATGTAACAATTCACCGATATGCATAGGTCCACGATTAAGATACAAGTGCGTAGGTCTGCGGAATCCAAACAGATCCAAATGTAGTAACGTTACAAATCGCTGGTTCACAAATGTATTTTGCTCATATTACATTCTTTCTACCTTCTGAAAAAAACCTATAATATATTTTGTGACAACCGATGCGTCCTGTCCTTCAGTGTCGAACTGCATGTAACTGTGTCATTGATCTAAAAGTCATTTTGCATGTGGACCCCAAAACTAGACGTTGAACTGAGGTCTGTGCCCAGTGGGAACTCTGATCTGGCTATACCTGCTGAACGGCGCTTACTACAATAGATTTTGTTTTGATTGTTCAGGTTCACCATCAGCAATAGTTTTGGTAGTTTTACTTTAAACAATCAGTGTATATGATAATTTTTTTGATATACAAGGTAAAGTTGATAATTTCAGAGTGAGGACAGTAATCCTATTTTGCGAGAAGCACTGCATGGTCGAAGCAAGAGGAGAAGAGAATATCCTTCAGTTAAAACGTCCAAACGGTCAAAACCATTCCATTTTGAGATGGGGGTGAAATCCAAAGTTGTGCTATATATTGATTGGCTATGTCATAGCTAATTTGTAAACGACAAATATTGACACATTACTAGCTCAAACACTTGGCAATTTCATGAGTGGGTGATGATTTCAGAACCAAGGCTACATTGCCCCCACTAATCTGATAGTGGTATTGGAATGGTAGATGCCTAGTCTCCCCTATGACTCAACTAAGGTGCCTACATAGTACATACACCAAATACATACATCATTTACACACACCACACTCACACACACACACAGATGTCAGCTGAGACAGATTCAGCTCAGAGAGGCCCAGCTCATGAGCTCCATCTGCAGCAGATTTTAATTTAGAATGGACAATTAATGTGTTTATGCAACAAATGTTAGTGCATCCAATCTCATTACATCAAACCTAATCATATCGACTCGTTCTCTAATCAAACTGATTCGCAACTAATCATTTCAAACCAAAACGCTCATTTTGGAGCCCATGTATCTAGCACAGGAGGTTTGTGGCACCTTAATTGGGGAGGATGGGCTTGTGGTAATGGCTGGAGAGGAATCAGTGGAATGGTATCAAATACATCAAACACATGGTCGAATCGTCTTGAAAGGGAAATATTCACATCCCTATAAGTTATAGAGCAATACAATTACTATCATTGATCAACTTCAAAGAATGTAGATACAAAAGTTGATTCCTATTTACATTTCAAATAACATTGGAAATAACTCATCAAAGCATCTAAACTTTGACATAACCATACTGACACCCATAAACCACTCAAAGCATATTTGAAACGTGGCATGCTCCTGCAGAGTACTGTGGCAGGAATAAAATGCAGGCAATTATGTAAAATGAATGACTATTTTCTCAAAAAATTGGAGGATGTAAAATAAAATATGTCACACCTTTACCTTTATCTCAAACTTATGCAAACATTTCAACAGGAATACTTAATCATTAGGCTAGCTGACATTTCAAAGCAGCACTTCCAATTCTCTATGCCTAATCATTCTCCTCAGCTATTAAATAGCCTAAATAGCCTTCTAATCTTAGCATTCTGAGAAATTGCAGGAGTAACCTACAGGCAAACCCCAGTAGTAGTCAACTATCCTCGATGATGGTTCGTGTAGGCCTACAGATTTAGGAAAACATTGAAAACGACTGTACATTATATTTTAATGATAAATTAGATAAACAAACAGTATCGACGAAATACAATAGATATAGTACATCGACTAAACCACATTTGCATAAATTGTCAAACATGCGCCCCCACGACCACCACTGTCGCATGACAGGTGAGGTTCCACTTCCTACCACTTCTACTTTGAATGTGTAGAAATAATACACTGACTTTATCCCAAACGAAAGAAAATATCTCATACCTTTTCAAAACATATGTTTACAGGTAATATTGCTCCCAATGGACCCTTCATGCGTGTCTTCCTTCGCCGGCTGTTGGCAAACTATCTTCAGCTCGCGCTCCTTCAGTTTCAGACTTGCGAAGGTGGGTGTATCCCGCGCTGCTATTCATTCACCCATCCCTTGAGCTATTCATTCCTTCACCTCGTTTAATCTCGATTGAGGCAGATAAATGTGTTTCGGCTGCAGCCAATATAAAAGAGGTGACAAGCTGCGAAAACTCTGTTTTTACCATTCGTCAGCGAGCTTTTTTTCAAGTATGTCTTTTTCGCGCTCTTCTAGTCAGCACGAGTGCTACCTACGTGCAATTGTTCGTTCCTCTTCTTAAGGGAGAATATACTGTGGCTGAAACATTTTAGGTAGCTTAATCAGCCAGCCATATGATATCTTGGCATAGTCTAGATTATTATTATTAGTATTATTATTATTATTATTATTATTATTATTATTATATTACACACACACACACACACACACATAAGTGTTGTTATGTAGGCCTATAACAACAATATTTACATGTGAACCTGCTACATGCATGGTTTCTGAGTAGCCTAGTCCTCTCAAAACCAATTTCAGGTTTCAAGGTTTCAATTTGTAAGATCTCCATCCTCATCTCTGCTCTATTATTTGTTTGCATTCCATCTATCTGGCTGTCACTATCATCAGGGTGCAGCAAGTTGTCCTTGGCTCAATATGCAATGGGACATATATGAAAGTGTCTATCAATCTTATGCTTATGCAACCAAAATATGTTCCATCAGTCTATGTTTTATTTGAATGGTTGGGTAAGAGATAAAATAATTTCTGGAAAGTGACTTTGTTAAAAAATAAATCTAATCAAATCAAATCAAATCAAATTTTATTGGTCACATGCGCCGAATACAACAGGTGCAGACATTACAGTGAAATGCTTACTTACAGCCCTTAACCAACAGTGCATTTATTTTAAACAAAAAAAGTAAAAATAAAACAACAACAACAAAAAAAAGTGTTGAGAAAAAATAGAGCAAAAGTAAAATAAAGTGACTATATAAAGGGAGGCTATATATACAGGGGGGTACCGTTGCAGAGTCAATGTGCGGGGGCACCGGCTAGTTGAGGTAGTTGAGGTAATATGTACATGTGGGTAGAGTTAAAGTGACTATGCATAAATACTTAACAGAGTAGCAGCAGCGTAAAAAGGATGGGGTGGGGGGGCAGTGCAAATAGTCAGGGTAGCCATGATTAGCTGTTCAGGAGTCTTATGGCTTGGGGGTAGAAGCTGTTGAGAAGTCTTTTGGACCTAGACTTGGCACTCCGGTACCGCTTGCCGTGCGGTAGCAGAGAGAACAGTCTATGACTAGGGTGGCTGGAGTCTTTGACAATTTTGAGGGCCTTCCTCTGACACCGCCTGGTATAGAGGTCCTGGATGGCAGGAAGCTTTGCCCCAGTGATGTACTGGGCCGTACGCACTACCCTCTGTAGTGCCTTGCGGTCGGAGGCCAAGCAGTTGCCATACCAGGCGGTGATGCAACCAGTCAGGATGCTCCCGATGGTGCAGCTGTAGAATTTTTTGAGGATCTGAGGACCCATGCCAAATCTTTTTAGTCTCCTGAGGGGGAATAGGCTTTGTCATGCCCTCTTCACGACTGTCTTGGTGTGTTTGGACCATGATAGTTCGTTGGTGATGTGGACACCAAGGAACTTGAAGCTCTCAACCTGTTCCACTACAGCCCCGTCGATGAGAATGGGGGCGTGCTCAGTCCTCTTTTTTTTCCTGTAGTCCACAATCATCTCCTTTGTCTTGGTCACGTTGAGGGAGAGGTTGTTGTCCTGGCACGTGAAACTAACTAACTACCTATCTTGACCACATCAAATGTGTTAATGCCTTTCATAATATCTATGTCAAGTTAAGAGTCAGAGGAATCCTAGGATCCTTGGGACATCCCTACCCGAAAACCCTAACCATAACCTTAACCCCTACCCTAACCTTAACCTTAACCATAACCCTTACCTAGCCCTAACCTTAACCCTTTGCCACAATGGTGTTATGAGTGGGATGGCACTCCAATGCAGCCTAATTTTTTAAAAATGAATATCCAATCAAGTTTAATGTTTCACACAATTAATATTGTATTTTTTAAATTAAATGGTTCCAAACACACTATATTGAAAAATATAGTTGTTTTGACTTATCTGAGTAACTTCGGGATAGCTGTTTTGATTAGACTATCTCACATCAAACCTGTGCTCATTCATCAGTGGACAGTTAACACGTCATTGACTAAAGGATGGCTGTGACTGAATGCAGTACAGTGTGTTAGCATGGGTAACCCCATGCAGTATTAGGGGCTAGGCTACAGGAGCCCCTCAGGCTACACACCTTTCCCAGTTGGCCCGATGTCGAATGTTTCTCTACAAGCACAGAGGGGTAGTTAGAAACGCCATGTTTTAGGCATCGCCATGACAGCAAGGTCATGGTCATGACAGAGGTGATAAAGAATAATATTTTAAAAATCTATTACCAGTGGAATCCCTCTTCAGCTGTCTTTATTGGAGGCCCCTTATGGGTTTCACATTCCTGCAGTTATGGGATTGACAGTAGTCACAGTAGTTGCAGTAGGATATGGTTACACATGGCTCTGGGTTACACTCTATCTGTTACTCTTTTTGGTTCTGAATACCTTGTGCATTTGTGCATTTATAATGCTAAGCTCCCCACTAGATGGAGTTTGAAATTGCTCACAATTCTGCCCTTGACACAAGCCCTGACCCATATAAAGAGCATTCCATGCTACTGCACTTAAGCCCTTCACCCATTAACCCCTCTAATGCCCTCAAGAGAGTTATTTTAACATACATTTCCTACACTAACAGGCGCAAATCTGGATATTTTAGTATCCCTCTATTACTCTGTAGTGATAGCAACTCTAATAATAATGCAGGAAAAAAATATATAATGCAGAGGAAAAGCTTGTGGTTTGTTATTGACCATGTACTATTATAATCTCCACCGGGCACAGCCGGAAGAGGACTGGCCTCCCCTCAGAGCCTGGTTCCCCTCTAGGTTTCTTCCTAGGTTCCTGCCTTTCTAGAGAGTATTTTCTAGCCACCTTGCTTCTACATCTGCATTGCTTGCTCTTTGGGGTTTTAGCCTGGGTTTCTGTATAAGCACTTTGTGACATCTGCTGATGTAAAAAGGGCTTTATAAATGAATGTGATCAATTGATTGTAATATTATTGTGGCAAATGTGACATCAAACAAACATGATGACAAAAAAACAAACCTCTTAAAGTACTGAAAAGGTCTTCACAGGAAAAAGCCTGTAAAAGAGATTTGGATATTCAGTCAATGAGATCCAATTTGGGGATACGAGTTGTATATGTGGTACATACTGCCACCTGGTGGTCAGAGCCATATATAGTCTATGGCTCTGCTTACATTGTTGAACGTTGTTCCTTATACTGTAGTTCATATGCCATCTACAGATATTATAGCACCATGCACTCCTTAACCAGATATTATTGCCACTTAATCTAGGAATGCCAATGTGATCCTTTCGATCTTGATCTTCAAGGTAATTTCAACTTTTATTGCAGTTTCAAGTTCCTGCCATGGTTCAATAAATGCTCTCACTTTATTGCCATTAGATTGAAGCAGAGTAAAAATTCTAGCCATAATCTTGATGAAAATATGATTTTGTCCAGTGATGTTGCTAAAATAATTTGCTTCATTAGATGTGATTCCTTTAAAAAAAAAAAGATTATAAGATTGATTATTTGCGTGATGAATTATATAATTGCTTTAAAATCATAAACATTGATACATTCAAATACACATTTGCTAATATTTTGAATTGAATTACTTTATTTTATTAATTCATTGGCTAATTTGAATATTTACACACTGATCAAACACTAACACAAATGTAGATACTCTTTGCTGGCCTGGCTGCACTAATACCCTCTAAAGATCAGTTGATCATGGAAAATGTATAGGGTCAGGCTATATGGCTATATACAAGTACAAATCCTTTAGTGATTTTGGTCCTTCATACCTTATGTTGGACCATGTAATCATGCATTACACTTGAAATATTTTACAAAATGCACAATGTCACTGCAATAACCTATTTCCATTTGACATAATACATTAATTAGTTTTTTCAAGATTAACATGTTGATAGGCTACTACTGATTGATTATTTGAACTTTTATCAGTATTATGGGTTTCCAAAAACATTGCAGTGGAATCAGAAACCAAGATGACATCCAAGCCTTTTTATGCTGCTAGAAAGTGGTCTGTAGTTTGACAGTATTGTGCTATTTTCAGTCCAATATGAATACAAGGTTTAAATTGCTCCTGCTACCAAACTTAAGAATTCAATGCCAAACATATTCAAAGCAAAATGCAAAGCTAATTCAACAAAACAACTTCTATTTAGAAACACCTCTGCCACGTCAGAAAGCGTGGAGTTGTTTACAGTATGTGCCACCTCACTTATCAACAACTCCCTAAATACTTGTCTTTCTAGGAAGGAACCCTCCATTGGAGCATACGAGGGAGTGGATGGAAAAGCAAACAGCAGGGGGATGGCAATGAGTAGGCGCACAGGTCAAAAGTCTAAACCGCCGCGAGAGAACAAAAACACAAACTTGGTCCATGTTAACCACGGAACACTGGTCAGAGTCTCAGACTGATGATGTAAGCACACATGGCTTCACAATGGGGCTCATCAGGTTTCTGTGGAGTCACTGTTGCTGTGACCCCCGTCTCAGGTCGAAGATGTAGCTAAGATTTGCTCCATATCAAGGTCATAAGGTTTCTATGGATTTATTTGGGCCGAAATGGTCCACATTCTTACTCTAAGCTTTCCGCCTCCAAGAGCCAATGGGTTACTGAGGCCTTAAGTTGACTGTAACCAAATACAATACAACCTCGTCCTCAACAATCAGACTCCTCCATAACCTCCATGACCACGGTTCGCGGTCCAGTGAGGATGAGGTTGCTGACCATCTTGTAGTCCAGAGACAGGACGTCCAGACCATTGACATAGACCACAAACTGGCACACCTGGAAAACAGACTTTGGTCAAATACTGTACGTACTGAAGAGAATTTATGAGAGCTGCATACAGCAGAGGAGACATTTATTGATTACCCATCTAACAAATATATTGATTTGACAAAGCTATCAATCTGTAGACACTGGAGCGGCTCTTTGCACTACATGTTCCACAATGCCATGGTGCTCACCTTCACTCCTACTGCTGCTGCAGGGCCACTGGGGTCCACTGCCTGGATGTGACATGGCCTACTCCCCCTGACCACAAAGCCCCAGCCCACCGCATCACCAACAATCTGGAGAAAGATTTATCACATTACTTACAAAGAAAATACTCTGTAAAATCACAAATATAATGTACTCATGAAAAAGGTTTTATTGATATTTGGTTGAGTTTCATGCTTTTAGCATGAATAAGAGATAACACTGTGGAAACGTACCGTAAACGTCCTCTTTATGTATGGACCTCCTGGTCTCTGCAGCTCCTCTGGACTCACTTGTCTCTTCAGCACTGTCAATGGAACAAACACATAATTAGCAGGTTCTCAGTGTAATCATGAACATTGGTGTTTACATTTAATCTGTACAGTAGAGAGGACATGATACAGCTTTAGGTGAAGACCAGAGAGACTCTTACCTGATTTGGGGTTTGACAGCACTGGTGAGGTAGGGGTAAGAATGGGACCTCTGTTACAATACCCACTGTTGCCACTACTACGACTGTTATCATGCCCCCGAGACACCACCTTTCTTTCCTTGGATGGAGTGACTAAGAGAAGGAGAATAATAATATATAGAGATATCACACAGAGGGAACATTGGCATGTTGTATGATTGAGAGTGATTGACAAAGTGTACCGAGAGGAAAAGGCACTAATAACAAAAGGAAGCCACCATGTTATTCATTCCGAGATTTCACACACATACACTCCAGTTTCAGAACTGTTTACTGTGCTGTAGTATCTACAGTAGAACACTAACACACACCACATAACCCACTGCCTACCATGTCATATCTGAGTGTTTTGAAAGAACTAAGCGTCTGCTGCTAATCAAATATAGCCACACAACGTGCTGATGAACACTCCCTGACCTGATTGATATCATAATAACACTTCCTGACAAGCTAATGTTTATCTACCAGCCTATCCAGGTAGCTATAGATACTACACTTAGTTACATAACAATCACCAGCATACTATTATGATGGCACATCAAATAAATGTCAAATTCACCCCCAGTCAAACTCAATGCAAAAATGCTTTCATCTATGTTCTGTATCTCTTCTAATTTATGGTTGAATATAATTGGACTGATCTATCATTCGGCATCAATCAAATTGATCTCAATCTAAAAAAAAAAAAACGAATAAATGTGATCATTTAAAAAAATGTAATAAGAGCCCAATAAGAGCCCATTGAAAACAGTTCCACAGTCACTTGTGATACCATTGTATTCACAGCACTCATAAAGGTGAACAACACCAATGTTTATGATTTAACAAGAGACACAATATTACATTAGCCATAGCAAGTAAACCTAAAACAAATTCAGTAAACCTAAAATCAACACTTTTCACATAATAAAAGTAGCCCTTACCAACTGTCCGAGGTCCCATCATACAATTCAATTCACTTCAAAGGTTTGCCAGCCAAAGTGCCAAGTAACTTGGGAAGTTGCTGTCCACTATCTCTGATGCTGCAGTCAGCTGTGGTGCTCCGGTGAAAATGTTAAATGTTAACCCCCAGAGAGAGTAAACAGTCTAGGCTGGCTGGGAGGGAGGGAGAGGGAGGGGTTGAGGGATGCCTTGTTGCCAGGCTATCCCAGGGTAGGAGATAAGAGCTGAGAAAGGCATTGGGATCACTAAAGCTCTAATGGAGGTAGGGACAGAAACAGTGGAGTTTTCCACTGGTCACTGTGGTCAGGCAAGGTGGAGTGGAATAACTGGACATTCTCTGTTACACACATACACACACATTCTCTGTCATGGTACATGGTTGAGAGACGTGGCCAGGAGGAATGTTCAACAACATCAACGACAACAACAACATCCATATCAACAATGACAACATCCACAATGAGATATAGACAAACAAACCGCTGATAATAGCCTAATGATAATGGCATTCTGTGAGATGAATCAAGAACATTCCTATCTGTTGACAGCAAGAGGTATTTGCTTCTACAAATACAATATTCAATATATTTACCCAATTATATGACAGGCCTATATAATACCATTGGTCGTTTGGAAACAAAGAAGCTACAGGAAATTTAAGAGCAGTAGCAAATAGAACATAATAGGATCAAACATATTTGTTTCTAGAAACAAAAGCTGCCATGTGTTTGCTGGGTGTCATTTAGGTCAATGAACCTGTTCAATATTTTTTTAAACCATATGACAATGACAGTCATCCTAACGTATAGTTTACTATCACTGTCCTAGATTATGTGAACTATATCCAAGAGAAAGTTTATTGTGTCATTTCAATGACAAACCAAGATGATCATCAAACCAAGATGATCATTGACCACACACCAACACTGAGTGCACCATAATCCGTAGTATAACATTAATGACCTCTATTCTGTGGTTCCTTTGCCTGCTTGCCCGGCCAGAGAGCCATATGCAATAGCAATGTCTCTCTACTCTCACATTTCTAAAAGGTAGAGACATACTTCATAATGTATAGAGGTGAGTCATGATCAATAGACTGATAGACAAAGTCTGATATGGATGACACACTGCCTCTGGTATTTAAAAAACATACAGCTGAATAACTTTATATAGGCCTTCTCTTACAAATAGATGTACAATCTTCATTTGATCACTCTTTTGTTGCCGAGAATTTTCCTGCACAGCAGGAAATGCAAACCTGTAGGCTATTCGAGATTTAAAAAGGCTTCTAAAGTTAGCAATTTCCACTATAAAATGTCAGACTTGATTTGCCCTAATGAAAAATGCATCAACCCCTACAAAAACATGTCCATTAATTATAATCCACATAATAATTCACATTTCCTGTTGCTGCAGGATTATGTTCCTTCTGTAGCAAACTAGCTCAAATTAAGCTCCTACATCTGTAAACTTAGGGCTCAATTCAATAAAACCCACATGTAGCGCAACGCTCTTTCCCATATGTCCCCAAATAAAATAACAGAATGTTCCTGGATATTATACTACTATTACTAACAGTTAGGCTCTGCTCAAAGGTAGATGTCTTCGGATTTCCAGAAAAGGTAGTGTGTATGTGTGTGTGTGTAAGACTGTGCACAGACTCAGACTCCGCTAGTAAATAAACTTGCTATGGCGGGTTTGACTGAATTCACATAAGGTCACACTGTTATATAAAATGCAGTAAGCTGTAAAGTACACTACCAGTCAAAAGTTTGGACACACCTACTCATTCAAGGGTTTTTCTTTATTTCTACTATTTTTTACATTGTAGAATAATAGTGAATACATCAAAACTATGAAATAACACCAAAAAAGTGTTAATAAATCAAAATATATTTTATATTTGAGATTCTTCAAATAGCCACCCTTTGCCTTGATGACAGCTTTGCACACTCTTGGCATTCTCTCAACCAGCTTCATGAGCTAGTCACCTGGAATGCATTTCAATTAACAGGTGTGCGTTCTTAAAAGTTAATTTGTGGAATTTCTTTCCTTCTTAATGCGTTTGAGCCAATCGCTTGTGTTGTGAAAAGGTAGGGGGGTATACAGAAGATATCCCTATTTGGTAAAAGACCAAGTCCATATTATGGCAAGAACAGCTCAAATAAGCAGTCCATCATTACTTTAAGACATGGTGGTCAGTCAATACGTAATTTCAAGTACTTTGAAAGTTTCTTCAAGTGCAGTCGCAAAAACCATCAAGCGCTATGATGAAACTGGCTCTCATGAGGACCGCCACAGGAATGGAAGACCCAGAGCTACCACTGCTGCAGAGGATAAGTTCATTAGAGTTAACAGCCTCAGAAATTGCAGCCCAAGTAAATGCTTCACAGAGTTCAAGTAACAGACACATCTCAACATCAACTGTTCAGAGGAGACTGTGTGAATCAGGCCTTCATGGTCGAATTGCTACAAAAAAACACTACTAAAGGATACCAATAATAAGAAGAGACTTGCTTGGGCCAAGAAACACGAGCAATCCTTTGGTCTGTAGTCCAAATTGGAGATTTTTGGTTCCAACCGCCGTGTCTTTGTGAGACGCCGTGTGGGTGAACGGATTATCTCCTCATGTGTATTTCCCATCGTAAAGCATGGAGGAGGAGGTGTTATGGTGTGGGGGTGCTTTGCTGTTGACACTGTCTGTGATTTATTTAGAATTCAAGGCACACTTAACCAGCACGGCTACGACAGCATTCTGCAGTGATACGCCATCCCATCTGGTTTGGGCTTAGTGGGACTATCATTTGTTTTTCAACAGGAGAATGACCCAACACACCTCCAGGCTCTGTAAGGGCTATTTTACCAAGAAGGAGACAATCTTTGACAATTTTTAGGGCCTTCCTCTGACACCACCTGGTATAGAGGTCCTGGATGGCAGGAATCTTGGCCCCAGTGATGTACTGTGCCGTACACACTACCCTCTGTAGTGCCTTGCGGCCGGAAGCCGAGCAGTTGCCATACCAAGCAGTGATGCAACCAGTCAGGATGCTCTCGATGGTGCAGCTGTAAAACCTTTTGAGGATCTGAGGACCCATTCCAAATCTTTTCAGTCTCCTTAGGGGGAATAGGTTTTGTCATGCCCTCTTCACGACTGTCTTGGTGTGCTTGGACACCAATGAACTTGAAGCTCTCAACCTGCTCCACTACAGCCCCATCGATGAGAATGGGGGCGTGCTCGGTCCTCTTCTTTTTCCTGTAGTCCACAATCATCTCCTTTGTCTTGATCAAGTTGAGGGAGAGGTTGTTGTCCTGGCACCACACGGCCAAGTCTCTGACCTCCTCCCTATATGCTGTCTCGTCATTGTCGGTGATCAGGCCTACCACTGTTGTGTCATCAGCAAACTTAATGATGGTGTTGGAGTCATGCCTGGCTATGCAGTCATGAGTGAACAGGGAGTACAGGAGCGGACTGAGCACGCACCCCTGAGGGGCCCCCGTGTTGCGGATCAACGTGGTGGATGTGTTGTTACCTACCCTTACCACCTGGGGGCAGCCCGTCAGGAAGTCCAGGATCCAGTTGCAGAGGGAGGTGTTTAGTCCCAGGGTCCTTAGCTTAGTGATGAGCTTTGAGGGCACTATGTTGTTGAACGCTGAGCTGTAGTCAATGAATAGCATTCTCACATAGGTGTTCCTTTTGTCCAGGTGTGAAAGGGCAGTGTGCAATAGAGATTGCATCATCTGTGGATCTGTTGGGGCGGTATGCAAATTGGAGTGGGTTTAGGGTTTCTAGTATAATGGTGTTGATGTGAGCCATGACCAGTCTTTCAAAGCACTTCATGGCTACAGATGTGAGTGCTATGGGTCGGTAGTCATTTAGGCTTGTCACCTTAGTGTTCTTGGGCACAGGGACTATGGTGGTCTGCTTGAAACATGTTGGTATTACAGACTCAGACAGGGAGAGGTTGAAAATGTAAGTGAAGACACTTGTCAGTTGGTCAGCGCATGCTCGGAGTACACGTCCTGTTAATCCGTCTGTCCCTGCGGCCTTGTAAATGTTGACCTGTTTAAAGGTCTTACTCACATCGGCTACGGAGAGCGTCATCACACAGTCGTCAGGAACAGCTGATGCTCTCATGCATGTTTCAGTGTTACTTGCCTCGAATCGAGCATAGAAGTAATTTAGCTCGTCTGGTAGGCTCGTGTCACTGGGCAGCTCGCGGCTGTGCTTCCCTTTGTAGTCTGTAATAGTTTGCAAGCCCTGCCACATCCAACGAGCGTCGGAGCCGGTGTAGTACAATTCGATCTTAGTCCTGTATTGACGCTTTGCCTGTTTGATGGTTCGTCGGAGGGCTTAGCAGGATTTCTTATAAGCTTCCAGGTTAGAGTCCCGCTCCTTGAAAGCGGCAGCTCTACCCTTTAGCTCAGTGGGGATGTTGCCTGTAATCCATGGCTTCTGGTTGGGGTATGTACGTACAGTCACTGTGGGGACGACGTCATCAATGCACTTATTGATGAAGCCAGTGACTGATGTGGTGTACTCCTCAATGCCGTCGGAAAAATCCCGGAACATATTCCAGTCTGTGCTAGCAAAACAGTCCTGTAGCTTAGCATCTGCTTCATCTGACCACTTTTTTATTGACCGAGTCACTGGTGCTTCCTGCTTTAGTTTTTGCTTGTAAGCAGGAATCAGGAGAATATAATTATAGTGAGATTTGCCAAATGGAGGGCAGGGGAGAGCTTTGTACGTGTCTCTGTGTGTGGAGTAAAGGTGGTCTAGAGTTTTTTTTCCCTCTGATTGCACATTTAACATGCTGATAGAAATGAGGTAAAACAGATTTAGGTTTCCCTGCAATAACGTTCCCGCCTCTGAATGAGTGTTTTCCTGTTTGCTTATGGCCGTATAAAGAAGAATATAGATGAAAACTCTCTTGGTAGATAGTGTGGTCTACAGCTTATCATGAGATACTCTACCTCAGGCGAGAAAAACCTTGAGACTTCCTTATATATCGTGCACCAGCTGTTGTTTACAAATATACATAGACCGCCACCCCTTGTCTGACCAGAGGCTGCCGTTCTATCCTGCCGATACAGTGTATAACCCACCAGCTGT